CAGAGAGAGAAATGGGGTTTAACGTCCACTCGACACAAACCAGGTCATTTCAGGACTAACTTATGGTTAAATATTATTTCAATAATTTACTTTAGCAGTGAAGACCCGGGGAAAAACCCACACGGATGGACAGGTGACCCTACTCCTGGTCACGTACAAGCAAACAATTGAAACCATGCCACTTGACTCAATGACACACCTCATGATCTAAAGTGCACAAGTTAAACCATTCCCCAGTCCCAGTGTACAGACACCTGTCACATGTAAGATGCTCATTCACTTGATCACTGAATGCTTATTTTTCGATTTTTCACTTGGAAATTGAAGTACATATGTACATTTATAAAGAATGTGTCGGATTTATACAATTCATGTTAGACGATTTAAAAATAGTCAGCAAATCTGAAACTTCAGAAACTGGACTAATTTTTTTTAATTCATACATGAGTAAAGGTATGTAGGTATTATTATTATCATATCTTAATAGGATTCTATTGATCTAGTACTGGTAGAAGTAAAATATTATATTGATACAAGATTTTCTCGTTTAATATTTTAAATAACAGAACAGACTAGCAAACCACTTACCATATGGGCAGACAGTCAATCATAGTTTTTAACTAGTTAGTATATTAAGTGCATGAAAATGGTGGAAATTCTGAGATATTTTATTTATATCTGGTCAAAATGTCTGACTAAGAAAAATTCTAGCAAAAATTTGACACAAGCTTTAAACAACTATTTTAGGAAAGAGGAAAATGCCATTTAACTAAGGTATTCAGAATGTCTGTTCAGTCATTTTACTTATACTCCCAGTTCAGAGCTCTCAATTTGAACATTAACACCTCAATGTGCTAAAAGAACAATAATCATTTTGCTTAGGGTATTCAGCAAAATTTAGTACTTAAAAGAAATGCTCATGAAAACAAGACATTCTCCGGAAAATACATTACTGTATATAATTCTGATAGTTATAATGTTTTAATCCACTAAAAAAAATGTATTAATACATTAAATCATATTTAGCAAAAATTAGGACTTTAAAGACTGGTGGGATCCACAGTGACTCGGTGAATAGGACGTTGGCTTGCTAACGGGAGGGTCCAGTGTGCGAACCCTGCACTGACTGACAAAATTCATCGTGGTTCTCCCTTGTCAGTGGAGTAGGACGAAAGGCCTTGCAAGGGACAATGTATAGTTGTTCGGATGGGACAAAAAACTGAGGTCCTGTGAATACATTGGCGTGAACATAAAAGTTGGAATTTGAAAAATAAGAGTAGGCCATAGCGCAACTGTCCTGGCAAAATTTCCCTCATAGCACACTGCATGGGTTATGCCCATAATCATTGGCCCAGTCAGAGAAGAACAGCAGGGCATCACATTTCATTGACAGACAGCGAAACTGACCATCTAAAAAGTTTGTCTGTCTGAGATAAACAAATACATGAAATTTTGCCTGACAGACAAAATCTTGAAGTGTGAGCCTGTTAACAGATTGTCAAAAAAAGAGACAATTAAGTTGTAAGAACAAAAGTCTGTGTCAGTAAATATCAGAATGGCAAAGATGTTAATCTCAAGTCACCCACCACAAGAGAATATTCACTGATAAGGCATGTTTCGCAAGAATACACTAAAGAGAGAATTATCTATGATAAAAGACCATCAATTATGCAGATACTGTGAAACCATGATGGCAAGAAACCATTCATTAATATTTTAAAAAATCAATTTTCATAAACAGACATGTATTTTATCACTTTCAAGAGAATAATGTGTTATAGTGACTATATTTAACTAGTAATGGATGAATATCCATAGGTTATCAAGTTCTATAAGCTACAAGGTTTGAAATTGATTATACAGTTATATGATATGCCTTGTGGGGACAATTTTATTTCTAATGCTCTAGTCCTAAACCATACAGATTTTGAGTCAGCATATACATGCAGACCTTATAGCCATTCTGTTGACTACAGAAACTAGTGTTAATTAGCATGAGATCGCATGAGAAAATTCTCCATGGAACTTTCTTAAAGATGCATTATGTGAGAGTTAAATCGTCCTATTACCTGCCTTTCTTTTGGCTTTAAATGTTACATAAATAATTATTTAGACATTTATTCACATGACAGGCCTAAAATCAACTCTGTGGAACATCAGATGAGCAGATAACTGGACGTAAAATTAATTCTCACCATTAAAATGACAGCCTATGACAGGTTATTAAAGATGCATTATGTAAAAGCTAAATCGTCCTATTACCTGCCTTTCTTTTGGCTTTAAATGTTATATAAATAATTATTTAGACATTTATTCACATGACAGGCCTAAAATTAATTCTCTATATTGAAATGGATTTGAATACCCTCAAGATTTAAAAATTTAGCGATAAAATGGATAATCGTGAATTAGTCTTGGTTGTCAAGTACCATTGCTACATCTTCAAACATAACTTTACCCAGAATTAAGAAGTTTTAATGAAATTTTAAATATATTTATTTTGCATTATCTATTTTTGAACTATTATATAACAAGAACAGCCAACTCTATCTGAAACTTACAAAATACATCTTAAAGATCTGTGTGTTTTACTGTCTCTAATAGTGAGACCCCAGGTGGTACGTGACAAGAAGTAGGGTCGCCTGTCTAACCTTGTGGGTTTTCTCCGGGTCCTTCGGTTTCATCTCACTGCTAAAGACCCTTATGTGCAAGCGAATTATTGAAATAAAATTGAACCATGTGTTACACCCGAATTGACCTAGTTTGTGTCGAGTGGACGTTAAAATTCCATTTCTCTTTCTCTCTCTAATAGTGAAGCTGGATGATTACCTCACATCCTCACATATTGACATGTATTGAGTTTTACTAGTAAATAATGTATGAATGAACAGAAAGATCAATCTTACACAATATACATGTTAATTTGCGAATAAAAGAAGAAATACCAGATTAGAATATAAGGGAGCCATGCTGGCTAAGTGAGTAAGACGTTAGGTCACTAGTCTGGAGGTCGCAGGTTTGATCCGAGAAAGTTCACTGCGATTTTCCGGCATGGTTTTCCCTTGTCAGTGGTGCAGGATGGAAGGACTGACAAGGACAGCTGTCTAGTCGTTCGGATTGGACGAAAAACCAAAGTCCCATGTACACATTAGGTTGCGCATAAAAGATATCTTGGCAGTTGGAATTCGATATAAGAGTAGGCTAGCTGTAGCACCGCTGACAGGGCAAAATTTCCTTCATAGCACACTGTATGGCGTATGCTCGTCTTCATTAGCCCAGTCTGAGCAGAACAGTAGGATATTAAACCCCATTTCATTTCCCTAGGATATACAAATAGGATATACAAAGGATAATGGTTTTATTTTCTACAATATACCTGGAACCACTGATAATATATAGATGATCAGACTATATACTGCCTACTGATCATACAGAGAATATTTATGATTACATCTGGGTAATAATTAAGGCTAATGCTCTAATGTAAATCCCATCTAATTAAAGTTACAACTGGGAGTGTACGCATTTTTACGTTAATTGATATTCGCCATTGACTGCAATATTCTTTTTTTCTTAAACAGAATACAAATAGTTTTAACATCCTGGAAGCTGTATGGATTGGGAATGGAAAACAGGGAGGGCCCAAGATTGAAAATATGCCAGATATCACTGGCACAATTCCAGTGCCCCATATTGTGTCTGGGACTTATTTCTCTTCTTGCTTAATACATGTCAGGCACAAAATTAAAACTTCCATTTTTGTCTTTGACTATGTCAGTCTTCTTTGGAGGATTCCCAAATAAAGCTATGTTTAGAACTTCAATGAAAACATAGCCACTTGCTGCATCAGTTAAGCTACTTTTTCCTTGAGAGCCTGTGTCAAGGTCAGCTCTGGTTCCAACACAAGAACAGTCCAACTCAAATGCTGAATTTTTTACCAGAAGATCAGGTGCTGCAATCTTTCCAGCCTCGGTTACCCAGTGTACTCATTCCGTTCTACTCCACTATACCCTGGGTTAATCTATGAGGGAGACACGTTTTCAAGTTATCTGCCCTTGATGATTGTGCTATTTTTATCGACCAATCCCATAAATTGTTATTTGAAAAGGAAGTTGGCAAAGGTAAGTAACTCTCATCGGACAATGTTAGGAGTTGGCCTATTCTAAATGCATAATTATTAACAACCAATTATATATTATGTTAATGAAGGCCAGACATTCATATAATAAGGTAGGGTCTTTAGTGTTTATAATTAATCGTTTGTTCGTTCCCAGAATTTTATGTCGACGTGATATCGTAGACAAGTTATTGAGAATCAAATTGCCAAGTATAAGTTCAATAATAATAAACATAACAGAATGACATATTTCAGACAAAGAACGAATAGTAATAATAATAACAAAAGTCAAACATATAGATGTTATACATATTTGAAATCAACAACACATACTACAGATCTTGATAATACAATCAAATATAAATAAATTATAAATATATACATTATTTATATAAATCATTCAGTAAATGGACATGAATATGGTTATCTACCCTTAAAGAAACGAAGGCAAAACGATTGGTTTGTAAACTGTTTTCTGATTGGTTCGTAGACTGTAGCTACATTCAAGGCCAGGGCAGATAATTTGAAATCGTGGAAACCCTATGGATTAACCCAGGGTATAGTGGAGTAGAACGGAATGAGTACACTGGGTAAAGGAGGATGCAATCTTTCTAGCATAATAAATATGGTTCTCAGAACTCTTAAACAATCACACCAGAAAACTAATCTATATTCAAATATGTTGCCCCTCTGACCTGATTTAACTTTAAAACATTTGTAGCAATGGTTAACCACTATAATAAGTACGGCTTTCAAGATCATATGCATGAGGGCACTATTTCAATATACCAATATTTAATGTATAGATGTTGGCATGAGTGGGGTCTTATTAGATATATTTTCTATAGAAATCATCAAGAATAATCAAAAAGAGATTACATACCAGCTCGTCATTGTCCAATATTTTGATCTTATCTTCTGACTGTCGTTTTGAGGTTGCTCCATAATCTTCCAATGGAAGAGTTGTTCCGTTCAGCTTGTTATTTTCTGACATAATTTCTGAAAGTGGAATGGTTATTCATTATGCCATTAATTTCACTACTGTAGGAAAATGTTATCTATAAAATAATCTCAGCTGAAAACTTGGGAAATCATAGAGAATTCTATTGAATGTAGATGACATTGAAATAAAGATGTACCATATTTTAAGTCTCAAAATAACTTAGTTTGTGTTGAGTGGACGTTAAACCCCATGTCCATCTCTGTGTAAATCTGACATGTCCGTAAATAGAGGAAAGATAGTTGGTTATTCCTCCATGGTGCTAGCATTATACAGGGTCTAGTTCCTGCTTTCGTGTACATGGCATGTATAACTGCCATCAACCTTTTACTACTGTAACTTGAAGTAGCTTGGTGGAAACCAGGGGTTGTTCTAGTCCATCTTTATAATCTGACTATTTAGATAATGTTTGATCAAATTCTTTATATCTAAGATCTATTATGGACTTGATATTGAATTATGTTTTCATATTTTATTTAACATTTTTTTCAGATTTACAGATTGAGAGAGAGAAATGGGGTTTAACGTCCACTCGACACAAACTAGGTCATTTTGGAACTAACACACGGTTCAATTTTATTTCAATAATTCACATGCACGTAGGGATCTTTATTAGTGGTAGGAAACCAGAGAACCCGCAGAAAATCTGCGAGGTCGGACAGACAACCCTACTCCATTTGACTCAATGACAGATCTTATGATACAGTGTGTACGTGATAACCATTTGGCCATCCAGCCCCATTTTACAGATTGAACAGAAGTCTCAAAGACCACATTACAAACAGATCCAGTGTGTCATGCTCTACCAATATGGTAAAAAGAAAACTTAGACATTCTTTTATCTTTTCACATCAACGTCAATCAGGTCTAGAATGACCTAAAGATAACCAATAATTAATGTCTTTGTTACAACTGCCAATTACAATTCTGTCATGATAGTAGAAAAAATGTACAAGTAATCGCTGCATGCCAATTTATCCAAATGTTTTGTAAATAAATTACTTTGAAAAAAGTTGATATACTTATCGAAAAGTCAAAGATTTTTCTACTGGTATTAAAATATATACTAACCAGGAGGATCATGAGGATGATGGGATTTGGCAAGCAGGGGCGCGTGGATATGAGGCAGGTGGCAATTTTGGTCTACTACAATGGTAATGAGAGAGAAAGAGAGAGAGAGATGGGGTTTAATGTCCACTCAACACAAACTAGGTCATTTCGGAACTATCATATGGTTCAATTTTATTTTAATAATTCGCTAGCGTGTAGGGATTTTTAGCAGTGGGAGCAAACCGGAGGATCCGGAGAAAACCCACGAGGTTGGACAGGCGACCCTACTCCTTGTCACGTACAACCGGGGAATCGACACCATGTCAGTTGACTCAATGACAGGCCTTATGATACAGCACAATGATAATGATATGGCATCTTAATGTCCTACATTTCCGCACCAATCAGGCTAATGAAAACAGGGGCAGTGTCCTATGGGGGAAACTTTGTTCGGATAGTGGGCATTTCCAGCTACTTTTCATAGAACTCCAAATAAACGAGACCTCAGTTTTTAGTTTCATCCAAATGGCTAGACCCTGATACATGCCAGGCCCTCTGTCCTGCACTACGGACTGACAATTGAAACCATGTTGAGAAATCCACAGGAACATTCTCAGCCAACACTGGAATCAACACTGGTAAGCAAGCCAGTGCCTTTGACTGAGCCACTTTGGCTCCCCTACTGCATTATGAAAAATAAGTGTTTTTCTGTTGGGACAGTAGATGAATAAGTTGCCCGACACAATATTTTTTTTTTATGCAAAAACTTTTTTTTTTTTGTTTAACAGTTTGTTTGTTATATGTATTTTGTTTTAATGGGGTGGAGTGGGGGAGACTCCATGACCACCTGGAGCAACACAAATTCAACTACACCACATATGATCAGCGAATTTTTCCATTCATCAAAAATTCCAATATTTATCTGCCTAGGCCTAAAATATACCAGTGATTATTTTGCCTAAAGACGTCATTAAGTGTTAGTATTTGACATATCAAGGCTTTTCAATTCGACTTAAAAATGACTATAGTTTACAAATACAGTCTATGTAGCTCTTTTTGTTGGATAAGTGTGCGCCTGTACACTATCACAATTATAGCATCTTTACTGCTTCTCAAACATACAACAAACACACTATGTTATGTCATCTCGGTTTACATCATGTAATATGGGCCTATAGCTGTTAATAAAATAATGCTTTGTTAGCAGTTAAAGTTGTGCTGTCAACTTACCTTCTGTATAGTAAGATATCTCATTCTAAACTTATTCTGTAGAATACATACAAGAAAACATCAAACACATTACCAGTTAATCCTTTAAACAAAAAAACATAAACAAAGTTGTACAAGTAATAATCTCACAACACTGTCATCACAGACAAGTCAGCCATCAACATTACAACACACGGCTATGTCGCGTTATAGACGACAGTACGACACCTACAGCTTAACTGTATATTTCTTCCATTTACAATATATTAGCATAACAATGACAACGTAGGCTTGAAATACCACCAGCTTTTCCTCTATGCTTTATATTGAATTAAATCAATACAACAGTACACAGCATAGGCTTAACGCTTCAGTCGTCGGCTATTTACGCGGGGCGGTCCAATGACAATAAAAGCTGCTGATGAGAGTCTTGTAGACAACAGGTGGACAAAATAATACTTTTAGTTTTATCTGGGTATCAGTCACACAGTCTTTTTATTGGGGAGAATAAAGCTAAGTGACATTTAACAGCTTCTGCCATATTATCCAGCTGACTAGTGTAGATTCTGCATGAAATAATTAGATAGCCTTAGCTAATTAGAAAAAAAGCCTTGTAAACTTATTAATCTTTGGCACCAAAAAGGTGTGTCTATAGACGAGGGATTGAGAGACTAAAGATGTCCTTTTACAGGAAAACGACATTATAGTTTAAACAATATTTTATTTTGAGTACAACTTGAGTATTTACAATAATGATATAATGGATTGGATTTAGAAAACAAGCCGAAGCTTATATAAATTCATCTCCATGTAATTTATACATTTCAATACAATTCCTAATATGTACAAATTCCGAAAGAATACCTTACATATTTACACTGACAAATAAAATAAAAAAAATAAATAAATAAATAAACCATAATGTACTTAATACCTTTTAACATTGATCACTATTGCCTGCCAATTACCTTATTTATTCAAAGCGTTTAGTTAGTTTAAAATACTTGTGAACTCGAAAGACATTATCAGGCAGCAATCAGCAAAAGTATGATTTTCAGGCAAATTTTGTTGATTATTCATTTGGGCAAAACTTTAATGTGGCTTCCAATCATAAACGGGCATGTTTAAAGGAGCTAAATCGCTAACATTTGGGACCTAGAAATTGACAAAAGTGGGTCGCAACGCATATAATACTGTAATATGAATGTATATAAACTGATTTACATTCAATGGTTTCTGTTTTTACTCCAATTTCAAATCAGTTATGTTCGGCGAAATAAGCCAGCAGTCTCAACCGAGTGCAAATTTCTAGCGTCTGGTTATTCCAGTCTACATACACCGTTTGATTTGGTGCAATGTGTCTAGCCTCGTCCCTCGAGTCTCTTGATACAACTGGGCCTGAAGCGCATTATGGTACACGATTCGTGTACCAATGGTAAAATGTTTATTTTGTCTTAAATATTGGATATCAAAAGCCCATCTTTTTCCGGTAAGATCACAACATGAATGTTGATTTAATTTGACAAATAAATCGTGTTTTCAATGTTGAAGATTTTGGACGATATTGAGTTCGAGACTTAGCTACTTTAACTAATTAATTTGAATTCTGATTAAAAGCTACAATACAACACTAGAAGGGTAACAAAAATTTAAAGCCATAAATTGAGCAATTTGTCTTGGCATGTTGTTAAAACTCGGAATTACACCCTTGATGACTTCCAGCATTATCAACTTAGTGAGAACATCTTTAATTCTTGAGCAATTTGTCAGTACTAGTTCTTAAGAGTTCCTGTAAATCCTTTGAATCTGTACAGATATAAAATTAAAGGTCAATCTGAGATATAAAATTCTATGCCTATTCCATTCAATGAAAATTATCTACATAAAGTAGAGAAAGGCAGTCATGTGAGATACCAAAATAATTTAATGTATTTCATTTTATTACAAAATTAACAATTCAACTGTAACACAATGAACTATCCCTAATGAGTATAATCTGAATCGATACTAGAGAATTATTAGTCTTTTTTTTCAAAAGGAGAAGGTATAACCCAAAGTACAAATTAGTTCAACTTTAATTAAATGAGCATTTTTTTTAAATTTGATAAAAAATAAAATATAAAGAAATATGCCCCAAAATTTAGATGATTGGAAAATATATTCAAACTGTGGGCAGAAAAAATATAAAGTTTAAATCGTTCTGTATTTTGCAATTTATTTCAAGCAGAGCAAATTAAAATAATACAAACTTACCATTTTGTGAATGACACATCACTCTGGTTCAGATTATTACAAATTAAAACAGTGTTTGATTTGAGAAGGCATTGTATATCACGTAGCTCGAAATATCTGTTCTCTCCCTGGCGTCTGATAACTTTTCGGGACTAACATATTGTTCAATTTTATTTCAATAATTTGCCTGCGCGTAGGGGTCTTTAGCAGTGGGAGGAAACCGGAGGACACGGAGAAAACCCACGAGGTTGGACAGGCGACCCTACTCCTTGTCACGTACAACCGGGGATTCGAAACCACGCCAGTTGACTCAATGACAGGCCTTATGATACAACACGTACATGCTAACCATTCGGCCACCTACCCCCCCCCCCCCCCCGTGTAGGCTATTCAGGTACTGACAGTGACAGTGAAATAGATTAATAGTGTATTGTGAGTAATAAGAGTTTATTTTGGACGTTTGTATATCCAAGGGCCACTATTCTGTGTTGGGAAAAAATATCTTAGTCTTGTTGGTGTTGAGACGACTATGCAACAAGATGGTGTCAGTTTACCTTGAATAAGCCTAAGGCAAGGGTTTTGCCTATTTCATTTCATGTGTGCCAGGAGTGGACAGTTACGAATGACAACATACTAATAACGCCCATGGGTGTATTACTACCTTTTTCGACCACCTTGTTTTGCCGATAAATTTGAACTGTCTTAATCATGGGAATAACTTTTTGTTCTTCTGTCTTTATTAAAATCTTGCCGCCATATTTGTTTTGGTTTCCATACAAATTGTGACTCTAGCTAAGAGAGTTTTACTGGGTTGGAATTAACTCCCTTTGATGTAGTCAGGCTACAAAACGCGAGCGTCCAAATTAATGTAATCCTAAATGACACGGTTTAACAAATAAAAGCCCAAATGGTGGTATCTGGTTTTTGGAAAAAATCAACCGGTGATTATTTTGAATACATGGAGACTGATGGAAACATACCAAACTGTCTGACTGTCTACAGTTGGTTACTACGGTAATGATGTCTGGCTAATCCCATTAGACATCGTTACTAAAGTAGGCCTACAGTACTAGTCAACAGTTAGCACCGCTTGAACGAAGTAGATAGATGAATCTCTGCGTGCAGAATGGGATGGAAATTAGACTCAAAAGTTTCACTCCCCCCCCCCCCAATATTTCGGCTTGACACCGCTGAAATTAAAAGGATAGGCCCTTACAACACCGTGTGTGCAGTGAGAGAGAATTCATTAGACTTGTTTTTTTTTTTTAAATATGAATATTAGGCCTATATATTTTAGTAGATGTATATGGCTATCCATGCTTATAAAAAAAACCCATATAAATCGCGCTTATTTCGCTCTCATTATAGAGGGGGAAATGGTAAACGTTTTGAAAGTATTTGTTCGTTAGTTTCTTAGAGCAAGAGTCAGACCTTTAACAGGATTTTCATTCCATCCATAGGATCATACTTTTATAACATCAAGATATTTTCTGTATCTACGTGTTTCCTTTTACCTCATAAAACTGCCGATTTTCGTATCGATTTTAACACCCGTCTCTTTAAAAGATTAACTCAGTAAGTGTAATATGATTTTAATGGCCCTCTGCTCGCTAGCGGTTTCCAGCTTGTCACCAGTATAGCTAAGAAAATCTAGTTAAAGTGAATGGTTCACATGCTTTGATCCACCACATCTATTAGATGCCAATTCATGAATAACATCGGGTCGATGGACTGTAATTTAATTCAAACTTCTTTCACTTCCCTAGTAAATGGCACTGTTTCATACCAAGTATAAAGATATATCAAAGAATGCATCGCTGCTGATGCGTTTTAGAATTAACAACTTGGATTTTCCACCTTCCAATAAATCTTCTGTAGAGCATTCTTTTGCTATTAATTTCTGGTTCAAAGCGACTTTCTATTCTCAAGCATTTTTGTAACAATCTTCAATCACCTAGGTGTCAGATGACTAATCTCGAGGAGAATTTCTGGAAGGAATCTGAATTTTATATGACAAATTTGGTATATCAAATCAAAAACAAAAACCAAGTACGATGGTATACTATGAACCAGGAACTGACCATCTTGTTGGGTGAAATTCAAAAATCTAATTCACCAAATCGATGCAGAATTGTTCAAGGAACAAGCATGCCAAATTTTCAATGTTGATCGGGCTTGAATTGACGGAGCCTTAGGCTTTTTCAAATAGCGTCACCCCAAGAAGAAGAAGATGAATAGCGGTCAGCGACCAGTTCCTGGTCCAACTGGCACAAAAATAGATAGCACAGTTTTATGGATATTACAAGCAACTTTAATAGTGCGACGTTTCGACGTGTATTATCTTGTCGTTAGACACAATTATGCATAACACGAGTAAACATTTTTAAGTATAAATTAACAATGAATCCACAAACAAAAATTCGTGATCTGTTAAAACACGTAAAGAGAGAGAGAGAGAGAGACAGACAGAGAGAGAGAGAGGGGGGGTAACGTCCACTCGACACAATCTAGGTCATTTCGGGTCCAACACATGGTTCATTTTTATTTCAATAATTCGCTTGCGCGCAGGGGTCTTTAGCAGTGGGTGGACTGGAAACCGGGGGACCGGGACAAAACCCACAAGGTAGGACAGGCGACCCTACTCCTTGTCACGCACAAGCGGGGATTCAAAATCACGCCACTTGACTCAATAACAGACTTTGTGATCAAACGCGCACGCGTTAACCATTCGGCCATCCAACCCCCCTATGTTCGGTGAAATACGCGAACAATCCAATTTGAACAATCCAATTAGGCATTGCTCGAAACTATTACGTCCATCGACTACACGAGTCTTATAGTGATTTAAAAATGTTCATTGTGTCTTAAATATTGTATATTAGAATCACATATTTTCAAGTTAAGACAATAGCATCAATTGAAATCGGCCAAAATTGAATTCTAGTTCGTGCCTTTAATTTTCAGTATTATGAATAATATTAATTTAGAGGTTTGGCGCCTTTAATATAGTGAAATAAACTGATCATTTTATAATTCATTAATAAATGAAGAAGTAAAAATCTTTCACTTTAGGGCAATAA